ATAAAATTTGATGCGGCAGGCAATCGCAGATGGGCTACTTATTATGGGGGCACCGGTACAGACTATGGTTATGCCTGTGCCGTATCTTCAACAGGTGATGCCGTGTACCTTGCGGGTGTCACCAGCAGTTCTACAGCGGGCAGCATTGCTACGGCAGGCGCCCATCAGCTGACCAGCGGTGGCGGTAATGATGGTTATCTCGCCAGGTTTGATAGTACCGGTGTGCGCCAGTGGGGTACTTATTACGGAGGAAGCGGAAGCGACCAGCTGTATAGCTGCACGGTAGACGGTAACGGAAATCCGTACATAGCAGGGTATACACCCAGTGTTGCAGGGATTGCCAGTCCCGGCGCTTTTCAAACGGCTGTCAGTGGCAGTAATGATGCCTTTGTGGCTAAGTTCACACCCTCGGGTACACGTGTCTGGGGCAGTTATTTTGGCGGCAGCCTTGAAGACCGGGCTTTTAACTGTACTGTGTCTGGATCGAATCTTTATCTCACCGGCTTTACCGCATCAACAGCCGGACTCACTACACCGGGTGTTTTTCAGCCGGTATATGGTACCGGCTCCTACGATATGTTTGCCGCGCAGTTTGATACTTCCGGCAGTCGTAAATGGTGTACTTACCTTGGTGGCAGTGGCAGTGATTATGCCTATGGCAGCGCTGCGTTTGATAGCGGACTGTATATAAGCGGCTATACTTCCTCTTCATCAAATGTGCTTACAACCACAGGTGCTCATCAGACGACTAGTGGTGGTAGTTTTGAAAGTGTATTCGTAAAGCTGGATATAAACGGAAACCGCGTTTGGGGCACTTTCTTCGGCGGCCCTGGTGCTGAATACGGATATGGTTGTTCCATCAGTCCGCAGGGCGATGTTTACTTTTCAGGTTATACTACTTCCACCAGTGCGATTGCCTTTAATGGTGCACAGAACACGATAAGTGGCAGTACAGATGTCTATATCGCTAAGTTTTCACCGGGTGGAACGCGTATCTGGGCCAGCTATCTTGGCGGCGCGGGTAATGATTCTACGTATAGCTGCGCCGCAACGGATGGGGCG